GGCCCGCTCCAACCCCAACCCCGGCTTATCCTTGGTTCCGACGCTCTCCGCGGCCGCGGCGCCACCGGCATACGCCGCGCGCCGACAGACCTTTTCGACGCGGGGTATCGCTGTCCGCCGTTCTGTCAAACCTTCCCGCCCGCCGCGCCCTGCACGCGATACCACGGCATGCACTCAACGGCACTGCGGGCCAGAAATTAATGTTCGACAATCTGTAAAGCACCCTACTGAGCATCATCTTTATCTCTAATGCCATAAGCGGCCGCGGACATACATCAGCTCGGCTATGACAGCCGTCGTAGATCTGCACCCATGATTTCGACGCCGCAGCCGCCGCCGCCGCCGAGTTTCGCGCGCTGTTAAAGCTCTGCCCCCGGTCAACGGCCCGCGGGACAGACAGACAGACCGACTATCCGACGGTCGGTCACGACTAGTGCAGCCGTCAAATTTGATTCGCCGAAATGGCGCACTTTGTTTTAAGCCTCGCTTCATACCGGCAGTATCGCGACAATCATTTATTGGACAATAAGCACGCCCTAGCTGCCCTCTCCTTCTCTCTCTTTCTCCCGCTCTCTCGGCTGCCCCCCTTGCCCTGTCCCTCTCGGTCTCGGACCGTGCCACACTCTGGCCGGACTGTGCGGAGCTGCGCGACATGCTCCTCTGACCGCGAGGCCGGTCGGCACTAAAACAAACCACGCTGTCGCCGAAAATCTTCCCCTCTCTCTCACACTCACACTCACGCTCCTCCGCGCCCGCCTGCCGGTCGCACACGTGGTGGTGTTGGTGTTGTGTTGATGGCCCGGCCCGCCCCTCTCGGGCCGTCAGTCGCTGCCGAGACGCGGTCGAGACAACACAGTGCCGCTGCGCGCCACGCCGCGCCTCGCCGCGCCCGGGCGCAACACGTCGGCCCTAGCCGCCCAAACGCGAACGCTCGCGGCGCACTATACCCGCCCGCTCTCTTCCTCTCTCGTGTGTGCGTGTGAGAGAGAGACAGAGAGAGAGAGAGGGCGTGACGACACATTGCGGGCTCTGAACGCACCGTTTTACTCGTGCAAAATGTCGGCCGGCGTTTGAAAGCCCCGCTGGATCAAGCTGCAGGCGCGTTTCGAAGGGCCGCCTACAGGGCCAGGAGGACGACGGCCATGACGGCGGCTGGGCGGCCGCCTGCCGGCTCCGTCGCTCCCCTAACGGCGACGGCGGCGTCCTCGAGGGCCGCGGGCCTGGCCCCACACCGCCGGCACCCGGAGCTGCCCTGAGGACCCCGTCAGTGCGGACGACGACGGCGACGGCGGCGCTCCTGCTGCTCAGGATGCGGCTGGATGAGGCGGGGGCGCCCGCGCCCGCCAGCTGGCCGTTGCACAGGTACGCCGAGTGCGGGAGAAATGTAACTGCAAGAGGAAAGCGCGCGCATCTGCGCAGAGTGCTCGTTCGCGGTCATCGTGAAGGGCTCCGCGGTGACGCTGGTTGTGCGTGTTGTGGTCTTTAACGCCCGATAGAGTGTGTGCGTGAGTGACCCCGCGGGCCTGTGTCATATGTCACCGCTCGACAGCCCGCGTCAACATGGCCGTCGCCGCGGCTCCGCGCTCCGAATCAGAGAGATGACTCAATTAATGGGATTGCGGGCCCCGCCCCGCTCGTGTGTCTGTGATTAGCTGATGATTCTGCTCAACGTGAAGGACTCTCTCGACGTAAGCCGTCAGGACCAGGTCACCGACAAAGGTTTGAGGGTCGGAGCGGGTGAAAGAGAGAGAGAGAGTGAGAGGGAGAGAGACAGCGAGAGACAGTCAAAGAGTCATGCCGATGTGCCTTGCGGTGGTGTGGTGCGGTGCGGTGCAGTCTTCGCGCGTCCACCGCAGTGATGATGGTCATCATCATGACCCCGTGTTTAAGTTGTGGCGTAATCTCCGGGATGAGGCGTTAAGTAGTGTGAGTCTTTTTGTAGTGTTCTTTTTATTCCGACTGTTTTGGGGGTCCCTCCTCCTTGCTCGCGGACGGTGAAAGGGTCTCCATGGTGTCTGGCCGCGCGGGGCGGCTCACCGAGCGGCTCACCCCAGAACGGATTGCATTCTTTGGTTTTCGGTCTTACTCTTGCCCTCCGCTTGACCGGCGGCCCGTCGCGCCGCGCGTTAATTTGTTTCCGAGACTCGCGGGCGAGCGGCGGTTATGTGCGTTGTGCGGCGGCGGCCGGTCTCCCCTTTACACTCGCGCGCCACGCCGCCGACCGCACGCGCTGGACATGACTTTAAAGGAATAATGAGGTAAATTGTTAATCTTTTTGAGGGAAACGGGATGGAAAGCGCGAGAGAAACCGACAAAGATCTGGTAATTCGAGTCTTCGGGTATAGAGGCCTGCCGCGGTAAGTCACGTCAAGTCACTTCAGATCACTTTATTACAAGATAATTGGCCAACGACATGGTTGGCCACACAACCTAAGCCGCGCGCTTATTTACTTTCTTTCGGAAGGAGTCCTTGGGAAATACTAATTATTATTCTCTCTTTCTTTCTCGCACCTACCCCGAGATGCGGCCCTCTCTCTCATGTCGTCGCCCTCATGCAGGGCCTCTCTCCGTGTCGCGTCGCCGCGGTGATGTCAGCGCCGGCGCTGATCTCGTAAAACAGAGCTCCATAAAGCCGGCGCTCGCCCCGGCCCGGCCCGGGGCCGCCGCTGCTGCCGTCGGCCTTCACCTTCGCGGTTTTTAACCGCATTATTCACGACCCCCCCGTCGACGCGATGCTTATTTAATAACGGCAAACGGCGTGCGCCGCGCCACAGGCGGCCTGGCGTGGGCGGGCTGTTCAAAAATCGGTTCGAATCCTCACGCGGCGCCGGCCGCAGACTGCAAGCAGGTGGCTGCAGGAGGAGGGACGGGACGCACAGTGGTTCGGCAACCCCCTTTTTGCGGGAAAAACCCTCTCCCGTCCGCGAATCGTGATCAAATCACTTCACACTCGGTGTGATGTCTGTTTGAATGCCTGAAAACTCAAATTTAGCGTCAGGGGTCAAAAGAGAAGATCTGGATGGACCCTATGGCTCCGTATCACAGTGGGACAAAAAGGTCAAAAGTGCGCAAAAAATATTTTTTTGATCGAAATCGGTTTGGATGGCCAAGAACAACATACAACCCGAGCCGATCACGATTTGGACGCACCACGGCCTTTCTAGCAGTGTTTAAAGCATGAAAATGCCCCAAAAAGCCATTTATTGTTAATTTACGCAACTGGCAGAAACCGGCCGGGTTACATTCGGATTCCTCGTGAAAATTTGATCCAGAACCAACAGAAAAATCCGTGGCATTTTCAATAGTCGATTTTTAGACGAATTTTAAAGTGTCACAATGCATGAAAATTACCTAAAATGCAAAATATCTCCAGTTACCCATAGCTCGCAGAAATCAGGTAAGGTGATTTTCGGATTCCTTGTGAAAATTCACTTCAGAAACATTAATAAAAAGCGTGGCAAATTTTGACCGATTTCGACAGGTCGAGACCGATTTTGTCCACTTTTGGCAAGTTTTGACAGGTTTTGACCGACTTAGACAGGTCTCGACACGTCTCGACCGATTTCGACAGGTTTCGACAGGACAGGTCTCGACCGATTTCGACAGGCTTCGAAAGATTTTGACAGGTTTTTGCCAATTTTGACCAAAATATGCACACTTATGCAAGATAGGACTTACTGGAATTTTGCTATAACGAACGAGGTTTCGCACCTTGGGAGCGTCTCTGCGTCCACTCGCAACCACAGAATACAAGCTCAGCACGCCTGAAAACCGCCGCATACCACGTCTGTTGTAAATGGGTCCACTAACTGCGAAGTCAACAATATAGTGCGGACAGCCAGGCCCAGGGGTGTTTTATGCGTACAGTACTAGCTACGGGAAGCTCTGGACGGCCGAAAAGTGAATATGCGCAACTTTGCGCAGGTCCACCGTGTTCCCCACACTTCAAAGCATATGTTCCGCAGTGAGTCGGTGCTGGGTCGCATTGAATGCGATTGAAGCGAGTAAAAAAGGGATGTAAACAGGAAACTTTTAAGAAATTTCACCTAAATTATCGACTTTAAATCGAGTCAGGAGCAGCCACTATAGGTCAGGCGAGTAGTGTTGTGTTAAATACAAACACATTAACTCTGGGGAGCGATAGGGAATGCCTGGGGTTAGTTTAAACCCCGATTCAGAGGCAATTTTAGCTAAGTTTGAAATTGACTAAATTTCTCATTGTTCTATCTTTGCACTGCCATAGCTCCCAAACGAAAGGTCTCAGGTCAAAATCCTCTTAGGACTAGTTACTTTGGACACTTTTGAACCCATTCTGACCACCAATAACCCTATCCGCCATTTAAGAGTTTTTCCCGCAAAAAGGGGGTTGCCGAACCACTGTGGGACGGGGGGCGTCGCGGCGCCGCCGCCGCCGGTCGGCTTGGGTGTTCAGTGTTTGACAGGTTGGACGCCGACGGCGTGGCGCCGGAGCGGCGGCGTCCTCGTTCGCTTTACGGACCATTGTGCTGTTGTCGACGCGGCTATATTTTGACCGATGATGGTTATTCTAATGAGCAAGCCGGGAGGTTTAATGCCCTGCGAAAGAAATCATGTCAAAAAAACAAAAAACAAAAACAACAATATTTAGTTTGCTCTTTTTCCGCGGCGCAGGCGCGCAACTACGGGTGGAACGGGTGTCCACCTGCTCGAGGGCCTCCGTTGTGAAAGGTTTGATTTCGCTCTCGACTCGGACCCATCAAATACCGACGGCGACGGCCACTGAGTGTTTGCCCCGGCCGGCCCCGCCCGCTAGCGGGTACTCCACACGCTCCACTCCCACACAACGAGAGCCTCCAGTCATCCTCGGGTGTTTGGGTGCTGTGTGCACACACCTGCAGCTGTAACTCATATCTCGAGCACGGCCGTGAGCACACACATCACGGCCCTTATCTCCACATCAGTCCGGCGCCGAGGAGAGAGAGGACTCGAGGAGGACCGAGGTGTGACAGCACACGCTCCTCTTCTTCTCGTCGAGAGGGGGGAGGGGGGGAGACCCCGTTCATTCGGACTGCTCCGTCGTGATTGACGTGCCCTGTTCTCGCTCATCGCTGTCCATATATACTACGCTCCTCCGCCAATAACGAAAAATATCAGGAGATGTTTTTGAAAAAAATTATAAAATAGCTAGCCTGGTAGCAGCCCTCTTGGAGGAAACGATTTTGACTGGTCTTTTATGTCGGGCGGGTGTGAATAAAAAATAATAATGGGCTCAAATATTTACTTTTTTATATGTACACCTTTTATCATCATCTCGGCCAGCGGAGACGTCTCCATCCTCTCTCGTGGGGGGAGGAGGGGGGCAAACGGAAGGATGGAGACAGATACCCACACCACTCCCCTCCCCGCCCACGCTCTGGCTCGTTACACGTCACGTTATTGAGAAAAAGCCGCTGTAATTTAAATATCCCGCGCGCGCGCTTCTCGGGACGGCCCGGTGCCATGCGGGTTATTTCAATTGTCTGTCTTCTGCCGTTATAAACTGCTCGCGGTAATAAGCTTGCTCTACTACAAATAACCGTCGCGGTGGGCAGGAAAGCGGTCGAGGCTCAGGAACAATCAATTATTTGGCATTACGTTTTTAATTTTGTTTCCCTTCAGCACACGGACTGCTTTATTCTTTTCTCAACACCTATCGCGTGTGTGTCGCCATCAGATGCACGCATTATTTCGTTTTCCTCGTTTGTGGAGATGAAGAGTGTAAGGTAACCCAGTGGTGCAGCTCCAGAAGGTGTGTGTGTATATGAGAGAGAGAGAGAGAGAGAGAGAGAGAGAGAGAGAGAGAGAGGGGGGGGGGAGTAAGAGAGTGAAACATTCGACCGGTAATAGGGTTCGAGTTATGCGACGAATAAATTAGGCGCGTTATGTTTTATTGACATGCAGCTCGGGTGTAAACAATACCTGTCGTCTGCAGCGGCCCGCCCCTCCACGCCTCGTTGTTTGACATTCCAAGTGCGGCGGCATCCCTATGCAGCAGCGGCTAATTGCAACGTGCAAAAGGCTCCCGCTTTGCGGCGAAGTGTGCTGTTTAACTTCCTTGTCGCCGCTGCTTGTACACGCCAAGTATTTTTCTTACTGCTGTTTTGCCGGAAAGGCCCCGGCTGTTTAGGAACGGCCCGCATTAAACTCATCGGTGGGAAAATAAATAAAAGTAAAACCGAAAACATTTCCCAAGTTTTATCACAGGAAAATGTGTAACACTATGAATCGAGCCACGCTTTTTGTGAGTGTGTCTGTCCTCCAATCAGCGATGTGGTTGTACACTGGGCGGCAGCAAATTATTTATGGTTTCCTAGTAAATAGTTTGGCGCCGCGGAGACCAACGT